AGTTCCACTAATTACTGAATAGCTCCCCGTGTAAGCAGCAAAAAAGAATTACTGATTAGTTCACGCAGCCTGATGATGAAAACCAATTACACCAATCAATTATACTTCCGAAAATTCATTCCATACGCTGAATTAATGCTGAACATTAAGCATGTATGGGTATCATTCACAAGTTCTATTCTAGTGTTACTTCCACCTAATAAGAATGTCAAAGTTGATTATGATTTACATTGTTTTTGGTAATACGAAAAAAAAATGGATGTTTTGAACATGAGAAATGGTAGATTTGAAATTTCATCCCCGTTAAAATGCTTGAGAATATACTAAAATGAAATCTGAAACTTTAATTATACACATGAAATAATAATATAACGGTGTTAACCATTCTTTAACTACCACATGCAGAAAAAAAAAAAAAAAAAAAAAAAAAAGAGTACCCATTCTTCCGAATGTGACAATTCCTGTACTCTTTTCCAGTTTTCCTCCGCCCAACAAGTTGGGCTTCTTCATTGAAAATCACTAGTTTTTTTATTCTTTTATGCTAAATACAATCAAATCAATTCACTCTATACTTTCTTATTTTTTCTCTTCACTAATTATGAATAAAATCTATTTAGGCAATTCCAAAATTTGCTAAATAAATTTCATATATTTATTAACTGAACTAAATGTTTACTTTCCACTTATAAGATTTTGTAGATATTGATTGTATTATGTGTCAAATATTTTCAAGTAATTCATAGTTAGTCGGTTGACCAAATTCATTGACTGTGTTGTTTCTTTTACTAAAATCTCTATCATCTTTCAGGATCGGAGTTCGGGGAAGGAGATTACCAAAGGATGTGAGTCTCAGGGCCTCTATCAACTAGTTCCCTCTTCTTTAGCCTGCTCCACTGTGGATTCTCCTCTTACTATCCATGCTCGTCTGGGTCATCCTAGTCTTGCAAAGCTCAGAAGATGGTTCTCCATTTATCGTCTCTTTCTACTTTAAATTGTGAGTATTGTCAGTTTGGGAAACATACTCGTAGTACGTTTCCGAGTCGTCTTAGTCGTCAAGCTGTTTCTCATTTTTCTGTGGTCCACTCTGATGTTTGAGGACCAAGTCGTCATTCTTCTACTTTGGGTTTTAAGTACTTTGTTACTTTTATTGATGATTATTCCAGATGTACTTGGTTATTTTTAATGAAAAAGCGGTCTGAGTTGTTTTCTATTTTTCAGTTATTTTATAATGAAATAAAAACTCAATTTGGCATTCGTATTCGTACTTTTCGTAGTGATAATGCATGTGAGTACTTATCTCATCAATTTCAACAATTCTTTTCATTTCATGGCATTCTTCATCAAACATCTTGCCCTCATACACCTCAACAAAATGGTGTAGCCGAGCGCAAGAATCGCCATCTGGTTGAAACCACTCGTGCCTTGTTAATTGATGGTAATGTTCCATACACATTCTGAGGTGATGCTATACTTACTGCATGTTATCTCATTAATCGCATGCCATCATCTAGTCTCAATCATAAGGTACCTCACTCTATTTTATTTCCTCATCAAGCTTTATATCCTTTAACTCCACATGCATTTGGTTCTACGTGTTTTGTTCATCATCTTGTCCAGGTTTGGATAAATTAGCTCCCAAGTCTCATAAATGTGTTTTTCTGGGTTATCCTCGGTCTCAGAAGTGTTACTGTTGCTACTCTCCCACTTTACGTCGATACTTTATCTCGGCGGATGTCTCCTTTTTTGAATCAGTTCCCTTTTTTGGAACCTTTACTACTCATGTGGATACTGATTCTGTACAGTCGTCCTTCCCAGGTGACCTTCTTTACCTTCCTTCTTTACCTGTCCATGTTTCTGACTCTCCTTCTATCACCTCTTCTGCTGATGAGATCGAGCATAGTTCGTCAGATGTATCTGTGGACTCACATTCAACTGCATCTCCTCCCACGGCTTCGGTCCCACCTTCGGATAGTGACCTTCACATTGCTCTTCGTAAGGGTACTCGTGATACTCGCCCTCCGGCCAGGTATACAGTGAATATTAGTTATCATCGTCTTTCTTCATCATATTTTGCTTGTCTTTCCTCTTTGTCCTCTGTATCTGTTCCTAAGACCACAGGTGATGCACTTTCACATTCGGGATGGAGACAAGCTATGATTGATGAAATGAGTGCTCTTCATCATAATGGCACATGAGACCTGGTGCCTCTTCCTTCTGGAAAATCTGTGGTTGGTTGCAGATGGATTTATGCTGTTAAGGTTGGAACTGATGGTCAAGTGGATCGTCTTAAAGCTCGCTTGATGGCGAAGGGTTTCACTCAGGTCTTTGGCTTGGATTTTATTGATACTTTTTCTCCTGTGGCGAAAATGTCTACTGTTTGCCTTTTTATTGCCATGGCTGCTATTAGTCATTGGCCTCTCTATCAACTGGATATCAAGAATGCTTTTCTTCATAGTGATCTTGAGGAAGAAATTTATATGGAGCAACCTCCTGGATTTGTTGCTCAGGGGGAGTCAGGTCTTATTTGTCGTCTTCGTAAGTCTCTTTATGGCCTCAAACAATCTCCAAGAGCTTGGTTTGGTAAATTTAGCAGTGTTGTTAAACAATTTGGCATGACTCGGAGTGCAGCTGATCATTCTCTCTTTTATCGTCATTCTGCTTCTGGATCTATTTATCTGGTGGTATATGTGGATGATATTGTCATCACAGGCAGTGATCGGCATGGGATCACTCGATTGAAACAACATTTATGTCATCATTGCCAGATCAAGTGCTGAAGCAGAATACCGCTCTATGGCGACTACTACTTGCGAGCTCATCTGGCTTAAACAGCTTCTCAAAGAGCTTAAGTTTGGAGACACTGGACATGCGACTCTCATTTGTGATAATCAAGCAGCACTACACATTTCATCAAATCCAGTGTTTCATGAAAGAACTAAGCATATAGAAATAGATTGTCACTTTGTTCGAGAAAAGGTTCTTGCTGGTGAAATTAAAACTAGTTTTGTACCCTCTAATGAGCAATTAGCAGATGTATTTACAAAATCTTTGAGGGGGCCTCGAATAGAGTTTATATGTAACAAGCTTGGTGCATATGATCTATACGCTCCAGCTTGAGGGGGAGTCTTACAATTATATTGTAATTAGGGTTTCCTTATTTCATTAGACTTTTTGTATTAGGTTTAATTATATTAGGTTTGGGCTTAGCCAATTAGTTTGTCTATATATTTTACATCTCTCACCAAAAAACATGTATTTTGATAAATATTTAAAAACATTCATTCGATTAAATAACAATATGTTATTAAAAATATAAATAAAACATCAGCGCAAATGAGTGAATAGTTGTGCTATTCCTCCCTAAATCCAAACAACATTAAATAAAGTGTTAACCTGACCTACCACCCGTTTCATAATGGATTGTCCAACCTGCATTTAGATTTTGTAAGCAGGTAGGTATATGATTTGAACATTTTCTAAAGAGGGATGTGTAGAGGCTAGAGTCACACATAAAAACTGGGCCACTCAACTTAGGTGCATCTTGCATCCCACGATTGAAGTGGGCTCACCACCTTTTCCCAACAAGAGTGGTCCACACCCATATTTTTTTTTTGGTAAACTGTCCACACCCATATTTCATTTGTTATGTTATAACCACATATCACTTTAAGCATTAATATAATGTCCTCGTTTTGAAGGCAAAAGTTTGATTCCAGTAAGATTTATGCAAAAATGAAAATTTCATTTTTAGTTAGCACTAAATCAATCACTATATTTTTTAATGAATTTAATTTGTGTCTGAACTTTACACACTACTTTTTCTAATTATTTGTAAAATAATCACTTTTCACATTATAAAATTGACATAAAAAATATGGGCATGAGATTATAGTACTCAAATATTTTAATAAAATAATTTGTCATTTTAAAAAAAATCATATTTGTTTATTACATTTATGTTATTACAAATTATAAATATTTAAATTAGCTCCGAATTAAAATAGTCTATAAATTCTATTTGCCTCTCTAGGTTCTACAAAATATCATAAGTCATAGCGCTTCATTCGTACTTTTAAATTAACTTATTTTTGTTATTATACTAGTAAAAAAATAATAAAACGTAATACTAAACAATAATTCTGTCAAACGTAACCATTTAAAAAAAAATAAAAAAATTTCAAACATACATTTGCTATCTTTACTTAATTTTTTTTGTAGGATAATTTTTGTTATGTTACTAGTAAATATTCTGTATATTTAGGTAAATTTTAAAAAATATGAACTAAAATAAAAAATATTTAAAATTATGATAGAGATATATATGCGTTTTCAATTAAGATAAAATTTTAAGAATATATAGTAAAAAGAAAAAATATTTATAATTAAAAAATATATGCATAATTTATTCAAAAGAATTTAAATTCATTTTTTTTGAAAAAAAAAAGAAAAGTTAGGTTAAGAATGAGATCTTTTCTTAAAGTAGAGTGAAATTAAAAATTAAGTCATTTTCATAAGAGTATAACCTAATTTAATATATAACTATTGTTAAATAACAAGAAAAGACTTTTGAATCAACTAAAATTAAATTCCTCCAATGTGATTTATAAATACCAAAAATACCTTAGAAATACATCCAAAACAAGCCTCGGGTAAACTGTACAGCATCTCTATCCATAAATACAGGTATTCTCCACATACGGCAAATCATAGCTTTGAATGATCACAAGTTACCAACAAACTCGTCAGGCTGGTCAATCTGCATTTCCTATTATTATATACATGAAATCAAGATGAAAGATTTATATACGTGTTTTAAATGATAAATGAAGCTCGAGAACCTGTACTTCCTAACAATTGACATGCAGAAAATACAGCTGTCGATGACGAACACATTTATAAATAAAGCAACAACGTCGTCTTATTCAGAGAAATGCCTTCAATCATTGACTGGAGAATTGCCTCTTATTCTTTGGTCAGGATATTAACGTGAGAGCAACAAATTAAACTTTCTTGCAGCAAGGTTTCACTCTGCAGCACTTATTTTCCTTCGTTGAGAAGTGAATAATCTGCTCAGTAATGTGCTTGTGACTTGAAAGGGGTCGTAAGATTGTCCATGAACCATAGAATGTTTCTGCAGCTTGTGCAGAAAAATTGTTATTGCTGAGGTCCAATAATTGCAAGTTCTTTGCCTTACCAATAGCAATTGAAAACTGTTGAGTGAAATGGCACTCGGGAGATGAAGAATTTCTTTGACATGAACTGGCACAGCTGTCGTCAATTCCAGAAGCAGCAGCTTCTACTCTAACTGGAATATCTTCACTATCAGCAACTTCCAGCTGATGGTCGGAAGTGTTCAGAGAGCAAAGGACCTCTTGATTATCATCCACTTTCACAGTATCAAGTTTCTGCTCCTGGTTTTGTGAGCAGCCTTTTACTGATAAGTCATATTGTAGAGCAGGAAGTTCGTTTGGAACAGAATTATCAGCAAGGTTAAGCTCCTCCAGGCAGCTGTTCTCTGATAACAGAAAACAACATAACCATACAATAGTAATAGTTTTAATATTATGAACCAACAACCACATATGACTTAATGCCTACCTGCCAGTGCCTCAATCATGTGAAGAATTCCAACAAGCCCAAGTTGACACTTCCTAAGGACCAAAACTTTGAGACAGCACTGAGGGTTTATGAGAAGCGAAAATAGAGTATCGATGCCCTGTATTCATTAGAGGCATTGCAACAAACCATGCATAACAAAGCTGGTTAAATTCACAAAATTATCACTAAATCGAGCACAGCTATACCTAAATCTATAGAAACTGAAAACTAATGTTGAGGGTAAAGAAATGGTAACAGAAGCCAGATTCTATGCTGAATATATAATAACATGCAAATGAAACCAGTCAAGGAAACATGAATTACAAGAATATTAGCAATAGAAATCCGTAGTTACAAGCAACCAACCTCAGGCATAATAGGATTTCCTTCCAGGTTCAGCTCAAGGATGGAACAAAAAAAATCAACATTGATGTTTGAAACATAGTTAGATGTCAGCCCACAATATGATAGGTCAAGTTTCACAAGCTCTTCAGTCCCCTTGAGCAATGATTCTGATAATTTTATCGCCCCTTCCTGCAGAATAAAGCCTCTATCCAGTCAGAAGATGTAAGCATGCTAGAACAACCAATAATGGTAAAATAAATTGAACAAATGATAGGAAATAGGTTTTACTCACGGTTCCAATACCCGTGCTTCCAAGTATTAGTCCTGATACAGTCAAGGTCCCAGCAAGCTGGCAAAGGGCATCGACGACTGGTTTGCCTAGTTTTAGACCACTCAGATTCAACTCAGAAAACCTACAATGGACAAATTTGATTTAAATTTCTGTATGCCCTAAAAAATACAATTTATCTAAAGATGGCACAGAGAAATGGATGGTGACTTCGGTGTAATTGATTCTACCTTTTCAAAGTAGAAAGCTTGGACAGAAGATTAACTAAAGCATTTCCAGATACAGGGCTGTTGTGTCCTGTCAAAGGTAGACTGCCCATTACGCTATAAGATTATATGTGTCAGGGGTACGAAAAGAATGATAGATTCATTATACCTATACAAAGATGTGCAAGTACAGATGCAGAGTCCAATGCATCGGCAATTTTTTGAATGGTTCTGGATGTGATACAACAGTTCTCTACATTCAAGCTACATAGTGCTGCACCACAGAATACAAGTAAATAGAAGTAAGGAGATATCTGCAGCAGGCACACACATAGAAGCACATTTGAGAGACCATAAGGGTATCTTAGCTTATATTTGATATATAGACATTTTCATAGCTCAATGTGAGATAACAGAAACCATATTCAAATTGACAGAGCTTCAGGTCATGCAGCTTACCTGTGCAGTTTTTTAAGATTGTTGAAAGATAAGATCCACATGCATCCGTAAGACGGTTTCCAGAAATGTTAAGCATTTCTAGCCGAGCAAAAAGCACTGAGCATTCGCAAATCTGATAGGAATAAGTAAAGTTAATATATTAGCAAATTGGGGATGGGTCAAATGGCATTCTAGTCATGAAAAATGAGACAGGTATTCTTTTATCATTGATTAATCAAAAATTGTACTGATTGAATATCCTTGTAAAATAGATTGTGATTTGAAGACTATTGCAATGAACTTTCATGGGGGCTAGGCAGGTGAAATTAGCTGATACTTCAGTGATTTAAGACCTGATAATTCAATTTCTTTTACAAAATATCTCACTACTAATATCAACTGTATGCCTCCATTACATTTCTCTATCAATTCAATTTTTAAAAATATCTTTCTATAATAGAATATAAAGTTCAACCATCATTTTAGACTCTCATACCTAAAATCTCATTCAACGAGAACCAATGTTACAAAAATAGAAAAAGGGGAAGTCAAACAGGCAAAGGTCAAAAGGGTAGCAAGTGGTACTATACCTGAAACAAAGCTGTTGGGCCAAATCGATTGCAATGCAAATCCAAAGTTAAGTCACCATAAGATTGGCTTGACTCTGTGAACACCTTTCGAAGTTTCTCCATTGTCCCATTTCCTAATATATTATCATCAATTCAGCAAAAAGCAAAAAACTATTCAATAGATCTCACTAGTAAAAATTAATTTTCTATTTTAATTCGTTTTATGGTTTTAGTATTCTTACTATTCATTTAGTCACCAACAAAGGACTTATTACTAGACTTTTAGTGGATGTAATACAGATGAAACTTGAACCAGAAGAATGGATCCTCTTGAAGAAGCATGCGCAAAGAATGGTTACTTTACTAGACAATTTGCAGACAAGAACAATACAGCAGAATCTAAAGCAAAATGAGCACAAATCAGAAAAAAGTACCTAACAAATTGTGAGAGAGGTCGAGCATTGAAAATGCTTTTTGGGAATGCAGCGCATTTATCAATGGTGTTATAGACAAATCTTGCAGGTCACAATCAGACACACTGATTTCATCATCTGAAACCTTTTGACAACAATAAACCACATTCAGTTGTAAGAAAAAATCCAAATTCAATCCAACATCTGAAAATGAGAAGGCATATATGTCACTGTGAAGTGGAAATGAAAGAAACGACAAGGTAAGATCCTTCTTACCTCTAAATTGTAGAGTTTCTTCAGTACTTTGATATTTGGTACATCAGAAAACTCCCTGCAGCAGTCTATGTACATTTTTATTAGGCGCTTGTGAATCCATCCTGTAAAGGATGAAAAATCGTATGTCTCACATGGAGATAGATAATGGAAAGCTAAAAAGTGATGTTAATATAGCTCCAATACAGCATAAGCCTATGACTGCCTAATTTGCCAAATGATTCATACATGTACCTCTTCTTCTGTCAACTTCCTAAGCTTACATGAAACAGACATGGGAATTAAGGGGCCTAAACCTTTAAAATTGTATACTAGAAGATTCAAATTCAAATAAAATTAGGACTTCGACTGTTGGTATTCAATTTAGTGTCATAGATACAATCTATGTCAGTTATTGGTAGTTAAGGAAGTTGCAATAGAACAATTTCTGAATTGTCAGTTACTAGCAGTTAGGGGTTATAATAAGAGGACTTATCCTCAAATAGGGGGCAGTTGGTAAGTAAGGATCTGAGAACCAACTTCTCAGAATAAGGATTATGATCCTTGGAGAGGGAACACCTCTTTTTCTTTCACCTTATTAATCAACAAACAATTTATACAGCAGTGTTTTTATCATTGAACCGTTTTTATTGTGATTATAAGATTACTAAATCCAGGACAGTAACATTACATAAATTGCAAGATCAATGAATATCAAATGACAATGAGTCAGATAAATTTAATCAATAGATAACAAGTAAACCGCATATCAGCTAGTCTAGAAATCAAATATTTATGTGCATCAATATGTGTCATATAGTTGAAGTCTTAGATATAAAGTTCCTGATAAGAAGCCAGATAATATTTAAACAAAAAAAATCAAGAACATGGCATATAATAATTGCATTGTGCTATATCACTGACTGAACAAAAAGCATCAGTATCGCATACCATCAATGGAAGCCTCAACCGCATCATTTTGCAGATATTCCTTAAGATTTTCAACAGTTTCTAGGGATTCTAGATCTCTTCCAGCACATTTTATATGCTGAATAATGGGCAGCAAACCTACTGATAAATTTATTCAAGTACAGTTAGGAGAGAGAAAAAAATGACCTGAGGAAAACTGCAATAAAAAAAAAAGATTTATAAGTAAATGTATTAGAAGATAGTATGGGAGTTGGTAAAACTGCAACTTAATTGTCTAATACTGAAGCATGGAATCGGGTACTTGATAGTTTGATATTGTTTCACATGTCGGACACCAACATTTATGCAATATGTATGCTTCCTGTGCCCAGTGTTGGTATCAGAATGAGTAGTGTTATCCACATCGATACAACTCCTATGCAGGACAAGAATTTGTTGTAAACAGTGTGGACAAAACAAAGTCATATTTAGGCAACATTTATTTTCAAACATTAATATATTGGATCTTACTGTGTGACAAAGTATGTCTCATGCAGTGTCTCACTTTTGGTGCCTCTATCCATGCTTCATTGCCAGACCACAATTGTGATCCATAGGAAGCTTTAAAATCATGCAGAGATAAGTAGACTAGGGTCAATACATAGGCAAGCTTAATTATGACGTGTCACTTGGTGAAAACGTTTCCACTCTAAGTCAATATCTGAGGCAGACCAACCAACAGCCTCACCAAAACTAATTCATCCCAAATCCAGGGAGAAGCATTCATGATAAACTTTCACCTTTCTTGTAACTAAGTGAAAAATTTGATAAACACCAATAGAAGAAACCGAGAACTATTACTTAGGGAATCTTCTCAAAAATATTTTCAATTCATGAAGAATTAACCAAAGTCAGAAATAATGGTTATTCCAAACACGTCTAAAAAGTACCAAATGGTAACCAAACAAGAAATTAACCATAGATCTCGGCCTTGATTAATTTTTTCCATAATCGGGATCCTTTTTGCCAGAGGGGCATCATTCACTTGTTTGATAATAAGGACGAGGAGCATTTGTCAACCTTTAGGTGCAAAGCCAGGATACCCAAATACACCTTTTTCTTTTTTCTTCCCATACAATTTATAACAAATTAATTTTCAAGCTGGCTGGTGACCTTCTATGCTAATATTATTAACTATGACAGGTAAGACTGAAAATAGGGACTGCCTACCCTCTGATCCCTTTTCTGTGGGAAGTTGTAGATAGTATAAGCATGCAACTACAGCCTTCAAAGACTCAATATTCAACTGATCACCAGCACTACACAAGGTTGCGTCTACGTGAATTATATCATTCCCAATCCGGCATGTAATATATTGCTGCAACAAGACAATATAAAGGAGGCAGAGGTTAGAAAAATATCAATTAGCAATAACAATGAACATAACAATTTGGCAAAAGCATGAATCTCAAATAAATTCATGTTCAAGCCAAAACAGTGGAACTCACGTCATTTTGGGAATGATGCAACATGGGATCGGCAACACCATTTTGTTTGCCGGAGACATCTGTGTCACATTTAGAACCACTAGGAAAATCAGGTTCAGCAACTATATCATTGCTCAAAGATCTGGAATGTCTGCCAGTCTTAGTGGCTGTATATGGACTCCGGCATTTGAAAGAACTACTACTTTCTTCAACATTAATTGCACATTTGGATCCATACTCTGAGACAACCTGCCATCCTATAAAGGCTAAGCATCCACATGCTGATACTCCTCACACACACACGAAACAAATAGACATTTCTTTACCTGAATTTTACGAGAAGGACTGGCTTTACTCTTAACTGCAATCAGGCAAGTATCAGTTAGTGCTTACTTGGGTATAAGGTAATCTTAGGGTCATAGCAAAGCAAGTAAAAATGAAAACGTACTTGCATCATCAGTGGGAAAGTCCTCTAACAAGCAATCGTGATCTTTTTTGCTTGAAAACTCGATCTCATCATTGTCATCATCGTCAGAGAGAATTATACGGACACGTTTACGACCAACAACCGTCTGATGGTTGCTGGTTAGATTTGACAGACTTTTGGGTGACTGCTCAGCTTGCTTGGTAGAGTTGGTAAGACTCTCTGCGTGGTCTGTTATCTTCCTGGATGATCCTTTTATGGACTGATAGAGTGACATAAGAGGCATGTCATCTTTCAATTCTACTTCAGTAGTCAGAGTTTTTGATCTAGAAATTGTCTTTGGAGAGCAGAAATTATCAGACCCACTATTTGAAGGACAATCATCTGGTTCAGTATCAGTCTCAGAACAACAATCCTCAGGCATACTTCTAGCTTCGAGCTCTTTTTCTTTTGACTTCTTCAGCTTATCAATTAGAAGTTTCAACCTCCTAAAAAGGATCACAATTGATCAGCAGTAATAGTACAGGTATCCATGATAACGGAAACAATAAAATGGACTCAATTTTGAAGATTATCAGATTTTGGCCTCTGAAGGTTAGAATATTAAAATAGTCCATGCGTAACTCAATGAAACTGCAAAAAAATGTACATATAAGGATACAGGCTTTCATGAATCAGTTACCTGGTCTCATCCTCATCATCAAATCTTATCATGTTGCTATAATGCATGTTTTCCAAGGCAGAAAGCTGTACATCAGGAAGGTCCGCTTCAACAGCAATTCTGCAATCAAATTAACGTAGCTCATAGTAAGAACATCAAAAGGAAGCCAACAAGGATGTATCTTTTTAAGCAGCTCTAATCAAGGACGAGTCTCATATTTCGTAAGTGTTCAAGTTTCACTCTAGTGTTTGCTGCAGCTGCAACTGTTAGAAGCAGCTCATGGCATGATGTTGTGTTGTTTACTGCATCTCTAAAATGTGAAGTTTATATTTTCTCATAGCAATAACTTACGGGAATTTGTAAAGAAACCAGTATGGCTGGGTTAAAAAAGCAAGGAATGGAAACTGCATAATGAGAAGAATATTATTCTGGTGATTTTCTTTCAGACATCACAAAACAACTGCAGTGCTCCAACAATCTAAAGCACACTAACAATAGTTCACGTCGTATGCAAACAAGTTGCATCAAAAGCATATGAGGAAACTATTGTGACTAATGTGTTCAACATAAATTCAGCCACTTGGAGTCCATGATAATTACAAATTTATTTATTGTTCCATAAACTTTATTTCTCTAGTTTCAAGAAATAAAATCAACCACTAAATTTTAATATATGGATATCATTACCTGTAACTCTCTTGAAATGCATCCAATGCTTCTTTCCAATTGTGAGTAGAATCCAAAACATTACCAATATTAATTTTCACCAGTGCTTGGCCCTATAATTATTACCAGCAAAGCATAGGAAGCAGCATTATCATCAGGACAAAGTGGCAATATAAATATGGGAAAAGTGTGTATCATTTTAAAGGATGTAAAGTTGTGTCATTTTAAGTGAGAGAAAGAGATAGATAAAGGAGGAGAGAGAGTGGACAAAAAAATATAAAAGTATGGATCTCACCTCTTTGTGAGAGTGAAATGACACAAGTTGTGTCATTAAAAGGACAAACACTTTTCCCTATAAATATATATAAATTATTTCCCCTATATTTATCTTTGTATACCAAGATACCTAAGAAGCATGGACACTGACATGTACAAAAAAAAATTGAAGTGTCGTGTATGATATGTGTTTGATACATGTCTGACTCAGATGGAATAAATTCTTATGTACAATGAGAATAATACACTTAATAGCTTAGCTTTCATTATAAAGCAGCATAAAATAAATCTGACTGCACAGATCACATCTTATTATTTAGTTGGATTACTGTATTACTCTTAGAATATGTAAGAATCTATCGTGACATGTACATGGCTCCTCTTTTGAATATAGCAACCAACTGTTGCAATATACTCATATTATCAATCGTTTCAAATAATCATAGAATAACCAAAGTGTTATATTAATTAAAGTCAGGAAGAAAATGAGAACAAAAGTGTTAACTTTATATCATAGAATAACGGAAACTTTACCTCTAAGTTACCAATTATTTTGTACATTTCCCAACTCTTTTTGTACCATTTGATTGCTTTGTTGAATTTTCTGAGCTTCTGGTATGATTCTCCAACATCCATGTATGAATCACCCAGCCTTTGCCTGTCACAAAGTTCACTTGCTATTTTCTTCTTCTCCTTTGCAAATTCACAATGCTAAACAAAACATTGTTTAGGAAGAAAGGTCACACTTTAGGAATTACTAAACATACCATAGTTTCAAAAGGACACTGCATTCAGCAAATAATACTAATAGCCAATAGGTCATCAAATTATCAAATGTGGAGGAAAACATCATATCTTCAAGTCTGAGAGCAACACATGCACAATGATTCATGCTTTAAGCAAATACGATATCCTATTTCTAGTGCTGCAACAATCACAAAATACATCACTGTTAGGACCCAACCAAGTGAGGTTGGGACTTGGAAGGTGTACACACATCGGAATAAAAGGAGTTAATTGATGGGATAGCTAGTAAGTTAATTAGTTAGGTCGGTATACTGTCACTTCGACAGTTAAATCGGGAAACACTAATTGGGGGGATTCATTTATTCAATTCGGAACTAATAACAGCTCAGTTGTAAAGGGAAAACCTTGGGGGGAAATCTCTCCCTGTTCGTTAGCAGTTCTTGATGACAAACAACACTTTTACCTCTATATCTCTATCTTTCAGTTCCATTACGTTTGTGACCCTAACAATTACCGAATAAACTTGCTCCTTTTTCTTAATAGTAAATTCATGCATAAGCTTTCCAATTGAAGAAGTTGCTAAGACGGAAAAGAAGCGTGCTCAAAAAAACATTAAGAAATTCCTGTTTAATCCATAACTAACATGAGCAGGTGTACATCAGTTCATTAAAGCAATATTAGTAGACCAAACCAAAAAGACTTCCTTTTATGTATGCCAAAAGGGAGTTCTAAAAGGTCAAATGTAGAAATTGATATGATGGAATGTAGCCTTGCTTGTTAAACATTTTTCTCCTAAACATGATAAATACAATTCAACAAATTACAGAAAACACTCTTCTCTGGTTGCAATGAAACCTGGTTGGTGAAGCGAACATAACAACATTATCAGACATTAATTGGGTCGGCCATCCAAGAACTCAAATAAAAAGCAAAATTAGAGGAAGATAAATAAATATATATATATATATAGGGAAATAGGAATAAAAAGTGTCATATGGAGCATAGGAAAAAAACAACTCTACCACACAATACTAATAGCTTTCCTCCACTCTGTCGTAAGACGCATCATATGCCAATTTATTTTCCATTCCATTAAATCTTATTTTACTATTTTTCCCTAAATAAGTTTCAACTGAACTCTTCCTCTCTGTGTCATGCTCTTGTAACAAACTTTCATTGTTACGGGAGGATCTAGGCTTCTTATTATAATAAGCCCAAACCATCCAATTTCTCTCATCTTTTTCAGTATCATGTACTACTCCTACCTTCTGTCAAATATTTTCATTTCTTATCTTATCCATCCTAGTATGGCTATACATCCACCTTAATATCCTCAATTCTACGACTCCCAATTTATGCTCACATTACTTATATGCTGGCCAGCATTCAGCTCTGTATAGTTTTCCTATATTTTCCTTCTAGCTTCAAACATTAAAAAAAATTATGAACTACATCATCAACACTCGTACACTAAAACATTTTCAGGTAAAAAATGGCATTTAGTTAACAAACACAAGGATATAATTGATACCTTCTCCCACGCAGAGATCGTGCTTGCTTTCTCAACGAGGCTATCAAGAGACGCATTTAGCTGCAGCAAACATTTGCGCTCATGTGGTGTCCCTCTCGTGGTAGCTGTATCTCTTTTGAGCTTTTTCAGGTTCTGCTCTCCTTTCTTTATTTCATCCATTACTTTGACAGCTTCTCTAACAGTTCCAATATTCTGATCAATTTGCCTGACCAAAGCATCCTCGTCCTCTAAGGACTTTGCCAAAGCAAGCGCCTTCTCATAATAAGATCGCGCTTCCTCGTACTTCTGAGTCCTGTAATGCACTTCACCAAGATTAATATACCCCTTGGCTTCCCCTTGACGATGCCCAATTCTGTTACATATCTGAATGTCCCTTTTAATATTTCTTCTAGCTTCATTCCAAATCCTTAGTTCCATATACACATTCCCAAGGTTATGATGGAGCCTGCTGCGACCATCGTCAAATTCACTGATTTCCTCTTCATCACAAATCTCCAACCCTCTAGTTAGGATCTTCTGCGCCTCGTGCAAGTTATCAAGCTCCATTTCCAGCATGCCTATATTGTTGTGTGCATCTATGTATTCCTTGAGAAAGGAAGACTTGTTGTTGGGCGGGTTTTCCTTGAAAGTCACAGCAAGCTCCATAGCACACTTGAAATACTTCTTCGCATTGCGAATGGAGTGATGGTCGTGATCTGATCTCGAGAACAATTCGTGGTAAGTGCGACCTAGTTGCGTGCTCGCCCTTTGCTGCTCAACGAGATCGTTAGCATCCCTCGCAAGATCTAAGTGTTTTTTCTGCAACCGAGAAAATTCTAAAAGTGTTAGAGCAAAAAAAAAAAAAAAACAGAATCAGTTAGGGATTTGGCAGGAAGAAGAAGTGACCTGGTAAATTAGGGCATCGGAGAACTGCTCGAGACGGAGATAGATCTCGCCGAGAGATTGGCAAGTTGGGAGCAAGTGCTTCTCAGGTAAATGCTTCAGCGAAACATCGTAATCGATTCGAAGCCACTTGAGGGCCTCCACGTACTCTCCTCTGTTCTTCAGTATGTCGCCGATGACGTTCGCCCACCGTGCCTCCTCCCGGTGGTTTCCCTCCGCCTTGGCGTTCCGGTAAGCCGCTTTCGCCGCCTTCAGTTCCGAGTCCATCTCCAAACGAAGATGAACGGTGTCGTTGTGGATTCTCTGAAACTCTCTTCTCTTCTTTTTGTGGGGTTCGATTTGCGAAGGCTAATTTCACTCCCGCGCCTTCTCTTCCAGGTTTTAAATGAATTTCCTCTGTCCCGCCAAAAAATAAAACACTTTTTTTGTTTTCTCTTTCTTTTTCTATTTTTAAAATTAGTTTCAGTAATTAATTGTAATTTTATTTTTTTGTATATATAGAACTATATTCACATTCTTGAAATAATTTTTTCTAACAAATTATTCAGTAAATAAAAAACTTATGCAATTCTTTATATATATTTATCTTCATATGAGAAGAAGAAAAAAAAAAAAAAGGAAACTGATGAGAACAATAAAGAAAAAGGTATTGTTGAAGAAAAATTCAATCAAAATATCAACATTACACAATTCCACAAGTACTTCATACCAAACAAAATAATGACTAGATAAGTGTATATCCAGACTTTTTTTGAAGAAAAATTTGTTGAAAAACTATTCCAATTTGGAATGATTAAAGATGAAATGGATTTGATTTAATTTAAAAAATAACTCCCACGGCTTATAGCTTATCATTAAAAAAAAATTTGATTTGGTTCTAAATTAAATTCCATGTATGAAATTTAAAGGTGAATACTTTTTTTTACATTTACTTTAATACACTTAATCTGTAAACTAATAGGATGAAATTGAAATAATACTAATTAGAAATAAAATAAATTAAAAATCACCCAAATTTAATTAGATCCATCACGATTCTCCCTATACCATTATCCCTATATTTCAAAACTTTTAGCTATTTCACTTAACTCATATAGTATGAAAATGCATTCATTTCCTATGCATTGATTCTATTTATGATATTATCGGAGTGAAACAAGTAGATCTAAAGAAAAACAGGGATTAGATTTTATTACTAACAAGTAAATCCTTTGTATGTAAAAACTCCTGAGATTTATTTTTTTTAGGGGGGCGTAATAACAATCGCAAAGTTTGAGATCACCCAGAAAGCACTATGGGTGGGCTTACTACTTAGATGCTTTCAGCAGTTATCCGCTCCGCACTTGGCTACCCAACGTTTACCGTGGGCACGACAATTGGCACACCAGAGGTGCGTCTGAATTAGCTGCTGCTTGTGAAGTATGGAAGGAGATCAAATTGACTCCAACTCGAGAACTTTTTTTTATAATTTCGATATGACTAAAAACAAATTTAAAGATTTTTTCAATTGAGTAATTTATTATAAAGATAAAATAATTTAATGTCATTGCCAAAACTCCAACAGCACGCCTAAAATCTTGGTTGACAGATAAAATAATTTAAAGAATTGCGTGTATGGAAAAAGTGTTTATCATGTAAAGTTATATCATTTTTAATAAAATTATGTTATTTTGATGTATTTTTACATTCTCTTTCTTTATTTATTTTTCTTCCTAATTTTATAAACAAAATGATAAGACACACTAAAACAACATAATTTCTTTAAAAATAACATAATTATGTGTCATTTAAAATGACAAATTTTATATATAAAAAAAAATGACAAACATTTTTTTCACAAAGTATTCACTAAAAAAAAAAAAAAAAAAACATACTGAAGCTATCTCCCCCCTAAGTTCTAGACATCACAGATCTCCAAAAATAGGAATAACCACAAGGAAGATTACGGACCAAAGAAGATTCAAACCCATACACTTTGATAATGCAAGGCATTATTTAGAACCATTGAGATAGCCCGCATTAACAATTTAAAGATAAAACTAATCGTGTCAAAACTGAATGGAATTTCGTAAGGGAAAATAGGTTTATGTTCACGCTAGAGTCATAAACGATAAATGAATTGGGGTCAAGGATAACTTCAATAGATCTTTAAAAAGAAAATATCGTTGACATAAGAAGGGAACGTTTTCATCCACACCGTGCTATTTACACTTGTCAATTCACGGGTATGATGAAGAAAGAAGGGGACAAAAAAGGTAACTAATAAAAATTCTAGTAAAATCTCTTATAGCCCCCCCACAAAAAAAAGACTAGTAAAATCTGTACCAAAAAAAGAAAAAGACTGGTGAAATTATTCTATGATAATCTTGTCTGACATTCTCCTTCTAATCTCCATGATGGCCTGGTTTCTTTTTTTGGATAATTCTTTGATGGCCTCTTGATACTTCTGTTCAATCATTTCTAATTCTATTCTCAACTCATCGTCAGCTTCAGACAAGGAGGAAACACCACTGGGATAACTAGAGAAGCTCATGATGCCGTTGCTTCCCAGGTCTGAAGACTTACTCCTGTAATCAGGCGATGCCTCAATTTCAGATGCAAATGAGGATTGACTACCTCTATCAAATCCTGATTCAGCAGAGATGAATGAAAACTTATCATTGAAGTCAGATGTTGTTGCAGAAGCATATGATATCTCAGAACACAAATCATCTGCCTTTGTTGCTTTTGAAAGACCAATCCATTCATGTGATAAAACCTCATCAAAATCAATATTATCATGGTTTTCTTTTGTAGCTGATCTTCGATATGACGTTGAGGGACGTACATCTTCAGCCACAATTTCGGTAGAATGTTTTGAGTTTCCTTTGTATTTTGCCAACTCCAAGTCTCTCTGTTGGCTCGCTTGAGTCAATTTACCATTTGGAGAAACCAAATGATCAATTACTACACAAGGTTTCCAATCAGGAACTAAATTTGTCAATAACAAATCTATCAACTCAGCTATGAATTTAACATTGTGATCAGCAAGTTCCAGCTGCTCAACCATTTCACTTGAAACTGAGACAGCAGTATCACTGTCAAGGTAGAATATGAAATGGATATTTCTTGCTCGTCCTGCATATAAATGCCAAAGTATATAAATGCCACCAATAAATTCAAAACACAGCTATTAAAGAGTAGAAATGAGCTATAAGTTATACTGACCACTCTGATCAGCTATCCGTAGAACTAATGATACAGAATTCTCATCATTTTCTTCTCCTTTTAGAAAGAACATATCACCTCTCTTCAACCTTCTTATCTCAACACATGGAGAAGACGATGCACCCTCAGCAGAACTATCAAATACAGTGATCACAGGTAGCTCACCGGTTTCCCCAAGATCCATAATGGCTCCATTACGTGCACTAGCAGGACCTTCTGACATCATGCATCGGCTTTCAAAGGCTCCCAATTTGGGAAGAACAATATCAGGCAACGGAAAAGGGCGATTCTTTGTCAAACCATTCACTTGGAGAAAGGGGTCCGACAGAAGTTCCTTTGCTGATAATCTTTGAGATGCTGGGACAAGACATTTCTCAATAAATGATTTTACTTCCGGATCTATCACTTTAGAAAGAGCAACAGGTTTTATACCCTGCAAAGTCAAATATTGTATGACCCAATAATCCCAGTAACAGCCTATAGAAAAAGAAAATTATTAATAATGCAACACTCACGGATGAAACTTTCTTGTATATCTGTGCCGAGTTTCTGCATTCACTGTAAGGATACTCAGAAGTCACCAACTCAAGCATGCACATACCAAACGAATATATGTCTGCTAATTCATTGTAATTTTCATCATACAGCTCAGGTGCCATAAACTCCGGGGTTCCTACCAGGATTTCATGTGTGTAAATAAAACTAGTATATAAATTAAACAGCATTGGGATAAAAAAGCAAGGAATCTACTAGTATTCCTATAGCTATGAGATGGAAAAATGAATAAAATTATGGTTAATGTTTTAACTATATAAAAGATCAACATGGATTAGCAGAAAAAGATAGTGCGGGGAAATAGAATAATATACCAAGTACACTCTTGGCATTAGTACGCTCCAAGAAAGTTGCCAGTCCCAGATCTCCAATTTTAACTTCTCCTTGGTGACCATTGATAAATATATTATCACATTTCAGGTCCCTATGTATAACCGGTGGTGTGTGACTGTGGAGATAGCTTAAACCAATTAAAATCTGTCTTGCCCATCCTTTAACAGCCTTCATGTCAACCTTCTTGTGCTTTTTCCGATACCTAAATCACGCAACACATCCACTAACAAAAAGGTTGATCTCACAATAAAAGGCAGAAAGAGATTCATAATACATAAAAAAGGGATAGTGAACATACTGTTTGAGGCTACCCGAGGTAAACAACTCTGTAATCACATTAACAGTCTTGCGCTTCTCATCAATCCAGGAATTGTAGAATCTTACAATGTTATCGTGCCTCAGAGATTTCAAGAGATGCACTTCTGAGTAAAGCCTCTCTAAGTCACCTGGTGACTGTAACACCTCATCAATCTGAACCTGGCCCCATGCAACTTCAATTCCATTGACTTCATCAAAAGCCTTGTAACTGATTGATCACAAGTTAGGGAAAACATATACACCTTAAAACAAGGTTAACTCCATGATAAAAAAATTTATTTATCTGCACTGCATTATGTTCTCAATTGTCAAAATGTTTTACTTTCTGCATAGCAAAAACATTCAATAATAAAGTAAACGAATTATCTTAACAAATGTAGTGCAGCTACAGAATCCAAAATAATAATAAAATAAAAAAAACATAGATGTTAAGAAAGCAAAAACAATGGATACACAGTTTTGAAGGCTCCTTTGCCGACCACTTCTTTATACTGTAATGTGTGCAAAAAGTAGAATTAGCTTGGTGCATTGATAGGTTTTTTTTTTTTTTGTCCCAAAGATAAAAAAAAAGGAAGAAAAAGAATGAACCAATATAAATTAGACAATTACATTACCTTGCTGTAGCGACCAGTAGGATCAATTTCAAGAACATCAGGATCGGGAGGCTCCATATGCCCTGCACCCTCTTCTGAGCTTTCTGTACCCGCCAAACTCATCTATACCGTTCTATAACTGTAATCCTACCCTACAAATCAAGCAATAACATGCACTTTGAAACCGCCATTGGAATCAAAAATATTAACCAGCAATCGTCAAACCATGAAAGGCATCAAAATTTGAAGAAATGAAGCATACACCATTGAACTTAGCTAATTAATAAATAGAAGAAATCCAGATTCAAAACTCAAAAGCAAACAAAAACAACGTATAATGTTAATTTTAACAATGCATGAAGTTCCAGTCACGAAAATACATAAAAATGCAAAAGGAAAAAAAGGAACCCAGCTCACAAAATCTGACTTTTTTAATTTTTATCTCTCTCTTTACCTGAAGAATATGCCCTTGAGAGCTTAATTTGTGAGAAGGAAATTGAAAATGGGGAAAAAAGAGAGAGAAAATGGAACCCTAATTGGAATTAGGAATTGGGAGAGCAAGAGAGGTATCGGATGAATCACGTAGGCACCTTCACCTCATCTTCCAAAACCAAGCCCTTCTCCTTTCTCTCTCTCTCTCTCTCTCTCTTTCTTTCTCTATCTCTCTCTCTAAAAACAGAAAAGCGAACGAAAACTGAACATGATTTGAAACAACAACTCTCTATTTATACTTATCCATCTTGTTTCTCCTCCCTATAAATGTCTCTTTTCAGGCATTTTGTTTCTGTCCTCGTCATCGCCATCGCCGTCATGTGCCCTACGCTATTCTCTCCCTCCTAGTTTTCTGGGTTTTTTTTTTTTTTTTCATTTTTTGGGTGGGCTAAGAGAACACGGTTATATGGGCTTATCTGAACTTAGAAATAGGTGGCCCAAATGACGGATTGACCCCCCTCTTTGCAAATGTAAGACGGAAATTTTAGGGGAAAAAAATAAAAAATAAAATAAAATATATAGAGAAAGATAGAATCTTTTGACATTTTAAAATTTGACATTGGTGCCAAAGGATCTTATCCCATATATCATAAGCGCTCATTAATCGATCTAAATTGATTCAAACTGCGGTGACCGAATCGAAAAATCGATAACCGAATTAACCGAAAACTGAAAAATCAAAAACCGAATATTTTAATTAGATTCGTTTGATTTTCGGTTTGGTGGAAGAAAATCGATCCAATATATTATGTATTTAATATTTTTGAAATATGGTGGCTTGGAATCTTTTTGTCATGTAGACTTAAGATTTAGTAGCCAGATATAAAGTTATCTCAAGCAGCTTGAAAAACGATAAGCTCGTATATAGATATAGAGTGAGGATATTCTAACTACCAAAAACTCTCAGTACTAACTTACTACCCATCACATCACCATTGGATCAAAGAGAGAGAATGTTAAAAAGTTTTTGAAAAGAGAGAAAATGTTAATCTAATGGTGATTAAAGGTAAAATCATTTCAAACTAATAATAAAAATAAAAAGTGAAAAAAATGTGGGTTTTCTTTCAAACTACAATTTCAAAAATAAAATAAAAGGTTAGATATGCTTTTAATCCTATAAAATTAATATATATTTTTTATTAATTTTAGAGTAAATACCCTTTTTAGTCCCTGATAATATTCACGAAGTCCTTTTCAGTCCCTAGCAATAAAAAAGGGACAAATTGGTCCCTGAAATAACAAAAAAGATGTCACATTCATCCTTCCGTTAACTCCCACCTAACGGCCCAACTAACGGTGCACAGTTGGCACGTTAGTTTGCTGACGCGGCTTGAATGTGGGACACCGTGGAAGACGAGACGATGACGTTTTGGTCCCTGTCAAAACCACGAGGGCCATTATGGTCCCTGTCAAAATGCACGAGGACGTTTTTAGTCCCTGACAAAAAGCACGGGGCCTTTATTGGTCCCTAACTAGAGAAAAATAGGCACATGACTTCATTGTTTTTCTATGCAGTCCAATTTTGCAAAATAGAAGTGCGTTACATTAGAAACAAGAGTGCAATCCACTTGTTCATCACAAAGTAATTAAACTAAATTTCATCACAAAGTAAAATACTCCTTCTTGGCATTTTATTTCAATGAAGTTTGTGTTTCTAACTGAAGTTTCGACCTTATTAACGATTATTCATTTCTTTTTCAATGCTAATTAAGCTTTCCACTTTGTTAAAAGGGATTCTTGGCTATTGCAAACAGCTTTTACGATCCCTAGAATACTATGAACTGCTTTAATTCTCTTAGTTTGTATGAGACATAGCGTTATGCGATTTACGAACAATATCTTCAGTAGTAGCATTACAATTATACTATTTATTTTTCTATAAAAGATAATTGCATGATTGTTGATATTTTAATACGGAGAAAAATCAGAGAAGAAGCCAAGTAATTGATTGTTGATAATTGCAATGCATGGCAGTTGACTGGACTGGAGCAGTTGGTAGTTCTCAGCCACATGAAGGCAACCTGAGAGGAAGCAACCTACCTCCATCAAACCAACAACAGGAAAATGAGTTGTTGAGTAATGAAACAATGAATGCAGCAACCAGTGGCACACGAAGCAGATTATTGGCCTTCATGAGCACACCTGGTTTTAGGCCACCAAGGCCTGCCTCAAGAAAATGACCTGCTGCTATATATGACCTGGGAGTAGTGCATGAGCCAACTGAGAAGGGTTTATTATTATGTGACTGACTTTTTTTGAAAATTCTGGCCATTATGTATTTGGAGGCCTTATTATGTCAATGTTTTTTTTTGTAAATTTTGGCCATATTGTATTAGATGTCTTTCTTTTAATTCCTGACAGTTGGCTTTATTTTGTAATGCACTACTGTACATCCATGTCTTCAAATATAATGATACTCAAATCATGTTCCAGCTATTATGTTTCACAGGGTTGATGAATGTGTAAGTTTACCATTTTTGATGTTTTTTAACTAATATACGTAGTTGCAGTTCTTGTACATCCATGTCTTCTGGTTTAACAAATTGGACTGCATACAAATCCAATTTAATGTCATGTTCCTGTTTTGCAAAATTGGATTGCACTCCTGTTTCTGATGTAATGCACTTCTGTTTTGCAAAATTGGACTGCATAGAAAAGCAATGAAGTCATGTGCCTATTTTTCTCTGGTTATGGACCAATAAGGGCCCAGTGCTTTTTGTCAGGGACTAAAAATGTCTTCGTGCATTTTGACAGGGACCAAGATGGCCCTCGTGGTTTTGACAGGGACCAAAATGTCGTCGTCTCGTCTTCCACGGTGTCCCACATCTAAGTCGCGTCAGGAAACTAACGTGCCAACTGTGCACCGTTAGTTGGCCCGTTAGGTGGGAGTTAAAAGAAGGATGAACGTGGCATCTTTTTTGTTATTTTAGGGACCAATTTGTCCCTTTTTTATTGCTAAGGACTGAAAAGGGCTTCGTGAATATTGCCAGAGACTAAAAAGGGTATTTAATCTTAATTTTATTAAAGTTATGGTTTGTTAATCCTTAAGTAGGAGTGGTTGGGCGCTTGAGATACTCTTGGGTGTTACTTTGACACCATTAGCATTATGGGCCATAACACACTGACACGAAATATTTTATATATTATGGTTGAGTCATATTATTTAATTGTTTTCATGTTATATTTTGTTACCATGCTAATGCCATCGACGTGAGTAGGTTGTGAGCTTTTGTAAACTCATGGTAAATCTAGTATTAAATTTATGAATTATGATTGTAATAATTTATAACGGTTTTATAGTTAAAAATATTGTTCATCAAGGGTTATGAGTTTTTATCATTTAATTCTTAAAAAATTTAATCATTGTATTTGCATAAAATAATTTATAAGTACAAGAGGCTTGACCACACACTGGTCCAAATGATGTTGGAAGAGAGACTTTAATGAGACATGTTGGGCTATGACGCGAGATGGATTCATATGATGGTTGAACTAGTATTAAAGATATTTGCTTGCATGGGTTACTCTAATGTTTAAGTTAGTGTTTGAATGAATGAGATAAGTAAGTTGAATAAGATAATCATACATGGGCTTTGAGTCTTTTTTATATAGTAATATCATGACTTGCTCGCGTTACTGAAACCTTAGTATGACAACATTCATTCTCATTAGCATCATCAGTCTAACATGTTTGTGGGATGCATGTTGGTGAGCTATGGTGAGTAGGTTTAACTAGAGCCCTGTGTCTGTCCTTTAGTCATTCGCTTTTGAGGATACTTATGAATCATGCGTTGTTGTCAGTCCTGTTATGTACTAGTGGGATTGCTTGTATACATGATTTACACGTTTCATTAGACTTAAAGTATTTGTTTTGGGGCCTTTTGGGCTGTTGTGGGATTGAACTTCTCATCCTCTTATTACGGGTCCAAATCAATTACCCCTAACATGTTGCTTATGTCGTTAACACGAGGAACGAGATGCATTATTATAGTGGGATCTTATATTAGCAGGATTACTCCATGTGTGTGAATGTGGTAAAGAGTTAACTTTTAGTGGGTTACGAGATGCTTTAGTTAGTAATTGTCACCTCATCGATAGGAAGTGATTGATAAATTGTAAGTTAATAAAAGCATTTTTAAATATGTCTTAATCAACTTCTTCTATCACATGACACATGTAATAGATTTAAGGTTTTTTACTTTTACCGTTGCACTTTCCCTTGTGTTTTCACATTTTTGCGACTTTGAATGTTTTGAGGAATGAGGAAAACTTACAATTTTTTCCAAAACAATTAACTCTTTCTCACAAACTGTATGCCTCTTCCCCTACTTCATATCCTTCCTTCTAAAGCTTTATTGAAGAAATCCTTTGAAAGTTTTACCTTTTTTTCTCATAAAAGTCTATGTTTCCCTAAGCATCTTCGTTTGTGTTGCTTCAAGGCTTTATAAAAGGATTCAAAATATAACCTTTCCAAATATTTAGGTATTCACATTACCTTTCTCATCTCATCTGTTTTTATGATCTTTATTATGCACTTTTAGGTTTAGGTTTGCATTGGTTTCTTGAGTTTACTTGTTTAAATTTATGGGTTTATTTATTCTCTTGTGTAATGTTTTTGGTTGTCTTCCCTGCACATTCCTAAAAATACTTTCATATTTGTTTGATAAAATGTCTGAGAGTACTTTTTTCATATTTAATAATGGCAGAGAGTAGTGACTCTACAAGTTAAGAGATCAGCCATGTTAAATCTTCCAGTAGTGGAAAATGATGGCCGTTTAGAGAAGACATTTCTCCTTTGGAAAAAGCAAGACTATTAGGGACGATGCCCTCATATTTAAAGGGTTATAATGGAGGTTATTCCCCTTAGAGTAAAAAACAACAGAGACTAGTTAAGAAGAGATTTAGATCTCATAGAATGAGAGGTATGTCCAGAGGTTCTTCCATAGTTTCTACTGGAATAGACAAACTAGGCGAAGAGCTAGAGGTTTCATCATATTGAGTGATTCAGAGTCTGACCATCATCCCTAATCATGTGAATCTCAGGATAAATATCCAAAGCCTTTTTGACCTTTTCATTCAGGGGACCGTCATGTTACCACCACTATCAGTAATTTGGGAATAAGTGACAATTGACATGACTTTTCCACTGATCCTAGTCCCTAATCCTGTGAATCAGTGTCAATGATAAGTCAAAGAGAAGTTGGGTCAACCACACATGATTGAGCCTAGTTCAAGTGGTGCTGGAAGAAATACTACAATGGGATCTGCTAGGCTGCGACATTGAATGGTTGAACTGGTGCTAAAGCCTGAAACAGAAAGAGGATACTCGCAAGGCACTTCGATGCTCAAGTTAGTGTTTAAGTGAATGAGTTTAAGTAAATTGTAGGATATGATCATACATAGACTTTAAGGGCCCGTTTGGTGCGCATGATAAGTAGGGGAAGATAGGATATATTATCATATCCTACCTTTATCGGTTGTTTGGTGAGCCAACAAGATGGGATAAACTTATCTCATTAGTTCAATTTATCTTGTTAGGAGTCTGATAACTAATCCTAAGGGGGGAACTGGGTTACAATTTGATAGGATATGATAGTAAAATTTTAACTCTTATTTTACCGGTTATATCTGTCTTTCTTTACGTGCTTCAACCCCCCTCTTCCCTCATCCTTCATCTTCTTCTATGTCTCCCCTCTGAAATCGTCAACATCTCTACCATTCTCCTAAACTTCCTTCTTGATAAACCCTGCAACATACACTCCCTCTTCACGTATGCCTTCCTCATCAACGTCCAGTTCTTCGTCATCGTTAACAATCCCCATGTTGTCGCCAAGATGCTTGTTTGAGACCAGATTTTAGAATCATGTTAAGTTTTCAGGTAACGCAAATAATACACAACACGCTACCAGTACGGCCATGGCTACTCGCTTCAACCCTATCATTCTATCTACCATTATAACTGTAATTCTCCTTTTATCCTATTAATATTTGTTTGTTTTCCAAAAAAATTCATATAATTATGAGAAGTAAAAATCAATTTTTTTTCTCTAAAATTTTCTTTCAAATGTTCCCCCCTGGAATTGTTGCTTTAATTTTCTACGGAAGTTACAGATAAGAGGTGGAAATTCATGGAGTCCGAGCTTCTGTGTTAGCTCACAGGTAGAAGGAATTTGAAAATTTCGAATCTTGCATTGTTTCGAATTAAACTTGTTTATGTATTCATTTTGCAAAATAGTGTCACAAATGCAAAAGGAGGGTCATGGACGACGAGTTTGGAGGTGAAGAAAATTTGTAAATCATTTCTTTTTTTAGTACAATCATAACCATTTTTATAAATTATTTAAAATTATTTTATGTATTTTAATATGTTTTATAAATTTTAGTTTTTTAATAATTTAAGTAGGTTATTGTGTATAAATAAATCAAAAGGATTTAAAAAAATCCCAAAGATTTTTTTAAAATTTATATAAATTAATGTTATAAAGGGTATTTTTGTCTATTTTATCATATCCAAATACTATCTAGTCCCTATCAAACATATGATAGGATAATATAACATTATCTAGTCCTTCTCATGTGCACATCAAGCATAGGATAAAATATGAGCTTGTCAGACCATGTCATTTCCTATTGCTTTGTGGCCCTCTTATCCTGTCAATCCTTATCCTATCTTGTTCATCAAACGGACCATAAGCATCCCTAATATAACATCAACATGATCTACTTGTGCCACCTTAGTATGGCAACATTCATTTTTATTGGTGGATTAAGATGGCCTCATCAGTCTATCCCGTTTGTGGAATGCTTATTGGTGAACTATAATGTGCAGGCTTAACTAGAGTTATGTGGTAATTATCTATTAATATTTCTATTTAGAATTAAAGAAAAATAAAATATTATTTAAAATTAATATAACATAGGCCGTAATTAAAAAAAACTGGGATAACACAACTTAGTTAAGAAATTAATTGACAATTCAGTAAGTTTTCATCAGGGGTGTTCATCAACCGATTCAAACCGCGGCGACCGAACCGAAAAATCGATAACCGAATAAATCGAAAACTGAAAAACATAAAATCGAAAAAAACCCGCTAATTTTAATTGGATTGGGTCGATTTTCGAATTGGATGATGAAAACTGATCTAATCCATACCCACCCAATATATTAATTTTCCTTTACCTACTTGGGTATTTCCCCAATCATAACTCAAAAATTTCTAAATCCAATATCCATTAACCCAAGAAAAAATCTAGTCTCATCAACAAAATTTCATCTATGTAGAGCTTCGTATCTCATTGTAAAAAAACACGCTATATTATCGTTTACTTTACTGATGGTTTTGTATTTCAAAAAAGAAAATTACAAAGCCAATATATACAAAAGGTATTATTTGAACAATAATCATGAAACAAATTTTAGGATTTTCAAAAAATCGAAAACCGATCCAATCCAAACAAAAAAAATTGGATTGGATCAGATTTGAAAAAAAAAATCCAAACCGAATGGATGATTACATGATTAAACCGAAGGGATTGGGTCAGATAATTTTTGCTTCCAAAACCGATACAATCTAGACCACGAACACCTCTAGTTTTCATTATAATATAAGTAAAAGTGATGTCAAAATAAGCTTACTGTATACGATTTGAAAATGAGTATAAAAAAGAGAATTAACTCATAATTAACTAATAATAATTACTCCTACGACACTTGCTTCAAAATTTTTTACTCAGGAAATAATCATGTGGTTTACATCTAATTTTGGGGTATCTCCAATCTATGATACATTGGATGAATGGTTAACTTTATTTCTCTTAGCATGCTGGAAGATATGGATTTGGAGGAATAAAGTCAATCACGGTGAAGATGTACCTCCCTTAGAGGTCAAGATTGATCTTATTAGGAGACTAGCTATAGATGTGGATGAAACATCTGCTAGTAAGGGGTTGCAATCTACAACAGGTCTTACTAATATTAACATATCCTGGCAATTTACTGAGGAGGATTATGTGAAAATTAATACTGATGAAACAGCTCGTGGAAATCATGGGTTAGTAGCTTGTGGAGGTGTGATCAGGAATTCACAAGGTGGCTGGTTGAGGGGGTTTGCTTACAAGCTGGGGTTCTGTTCGACTTTCAGAGCAGAATTATGGGGTATTTTGCATGGTTTAAAGGAAGCTTGGCATGCTGGTTTTAGGAGAATAATTATGGAAAATGATTCATTATTAGCAATCACTGGGCTCACCAATTGTGGTGTAGCAGTCTGTGAGATTCAACTTATATCTCGTATACAGACATGGTTGAACAAAGACTGGGAGGTACATTTACAACATACTTTTAGGGAAGGTAATATGTGCGCTGACTGGATGACCAACAATTTGCTAAATTCACCTGAACTAAGTGATCAGATTTTCTTTAAGACTCCATCAGGGGGTATCCGTTTGCTTTATGTGGCAGACCTTGCGTCTGTTGGGAGGGAACATACTGTTTCCCTTTCTGGTTAGTCTTTGGTTTATGTTCTGTCTTAGCAACAGAGATGTCCAGCCCAATGAACTGATATGTTCATCTTGGATCTAGTGCCTTCTTCAAGGTATCTATGAAAGAGATACCCTTGAGTCAAGCAAATCACTGTGCACAATAACTAATAACGGCGTTAGCCAATGAGGTGTGTATGCGCACAGTGACATCATAACAGTAAGAGAGAGAGCGTAACATACCTTTAGGATTTACCTTGTATTTATAGAAGTTACCTATGAGAAGTATGACATGGGCCTTTGGTGCCTCTGATAAGGGCCCAAGCCTGTTCGCTATGCTGTCGTATTAAGATTAGTATCCTTGATAGATATTATCCATAATTATAATTGATTCAAATCTTGGACTGCCCATTATTGAACCTGCCATTCAATGAGCCCCTTATACGAATCTATAACATATATATATATATATATATATTTTTTGCTTGGGCTTTGCTCTTTTTATTACCAAAAAAAAAAACTAATAATAAAACATGTAAACCTATGTAGGAAGAACAAGAGGAAACGACGTTCTTTTAGGTGCATCCATTTTTAAAGACGAGTAAAGCTATTTTTGTTCCCTAATAAAAAAACATGATTCACTTTCGTCTCTTATGAAAAAAAATCAATTTTTAGTCGTGATTTCAGTTTTTTGAAAATGTAATTACTTATAAATTTAACAACGAAGATCTAATTTAATATCTAAAAGAAAATTAATATGAATATTTTTTTTACAAAGAATAATAGTTGAGACTGTATTTTTGCCAAGATCAAAAAGGACGAGAAAAAAAAAAAAAAAATCCTTTGTGAAGTCGATAGGTTTATTTAAGGCAAAGGTTATTATTGGCTTGTAATCAAAAGTGTGACAGTGAGAATGGAGTTCTTAGACGAAGACGCGAGGCCAAGGTTCATGTTTCAATCAGGAGCACCCACAGAATCAGAGCCATTGCATCACCACAAACCCACCAAGTCATTCATCTTCGTCACCGTTTCTCTCTCTTCCCTTCTCTTAGCTCTCGCTCTCTTCTTCTTCCAGTCCGAACCCTTCCAATCTCTCCTCGTCTGGCTCTCCCTCTCTCTCCTCATCGGTCCCTTCGCACCTCTCTCCCTCACCGCCGGCGACATCCGCGTCGGCCGTGGCCCCGTCGTCAACTTCCCCGATCAAGAAACCGCAACCGACGACGATGCCAAGAAACCGCAGCGGCGATCCAAGACGCGCAGATCCGATGAAGTCGCCGTTGGCCCGGTGGTGGCGGCGGCGGTCGTGAACGGCGGCGCGTCTGAGAAGAGAAGAGGAGATGGGAACGGTGCTGCGGCGGTGGTAGAGGAGGAGGAGGAGGAGGAGGAGCAGGAGTGGAATGAAGAGGACGTTGAGGTTCTGAAGAAGCAGATGGTGAAGCATCCCGTGGGGAAACCTGGACGGTGGGAGGCGATTGCGGCGGCGTTCGGAGGGCGGCACAGGGCGGAGAGCGTGATCAAGAAGGCGAAGGAATCGGGGGAGAAGAGAGTTGATGATTCGGACTCGTATGCTTTGTTTTTGAAGAAGAGGAAGGCGTTGGATAAGAGGGCTGAGGCTGAGAATGGGGGTGAAGATTTGGGTGCGACGGTTGAGAAAGTTGAAATTGATTGGAGTTCGGGGGAGGATATTGCTCTGTTGAATGCTTTAAAAGCGTTTCCGAAGGATGCTCCTATGAGATGGGAGAAGGTTGCGGCTGCTGTTCCTGCGAAATCCAAGGCCGCTTGCATCAAAAGAGTTGCTGAATTGAAGAAGGGGTTTCGGAGTGCAAAAGCTTCATCCCATGAGTAGATTGAAGATTGAAAATTCCCAAGATTTGATAGCTTGGGATTTGGTTGAATTCAAATATGCGGGAGTGCCAAATGCTGTGTCTGTGAGGTAAATCCTTGAATGGATTGGTAGACTTGTAATTTATGCAGATTTTTGTTTATACTTATTTGAGTTAATGATTTATGTTGATAATTTGTTTTGATGAGCCATTCTTTCCTCGTTCTTCTAGGATTAGGTAGCTCTCTCTACCCAAAATGTGTTTGTGTAACGATCAACACCGTGTATTCTGATTTTCTAATAACGAGTCACACAATGCCATTGTTGTGATTGTGAAACATATAAAACAGGATTTGGTTGTTGACATGTTGTGTGCTTTAAAGCCCTGGTACCCGCATCCATTAGCTGGGAGACATGAATCAATTAGCATATTTGGGTGATGAGATGAGGACAACAGTGGAAACTAGGGTAAGTATAATAACTATATAAATTTAATATTTCAACTTTAATCTTGGGACTCTTCTGTACCGTATGTTCACCTTGGTAAAGTTGTACCCATTCTCTGAATTCTTTCCCTTTGTACCTTTATTCCCAACGGGTTTACATTTCGGTTGCCATTTTGTTGCTGCCAACCATTTCCTTAGTTTAGTTTGTGAAACTTTGATTTGACTCTGCTACTATTTTGGGGATTTTAGTGTTTTATACTCTTGGGTTTCGAGCGTTTTTTTTATAGAGAGCCTTTATTTCAAAATCATATTTTATGATTTGTTTCCAGTTGTATTTTGTGAAATACATCTCTATTGGTTTGTGAAAATGTATGTAATGGGCCTTTCAATTCCTTTTGTGTAAGTTGCCTGCAATTTCTAACATGGCTAATTCCTTAGTAAGTTCTGTTTGTTTGCTTGGGCTAGATGAAACTTGAAAGCATGGGCATGTCATGCTATATCAGCTGGTTAGTAGCTATAATACCCTTTTTAACATTACTAATCTATAAGTGGGGGATTGACGTTTTATCCCTCATTAAATTTCTGTCAAGCGCGTCACCACTAATTGCAATTACAATTAGTATATATCTCAACGGGAATTGTTACCTGGTCTTTAACGGGAAGGGTTCGAATGGCTTGGTTGTTATACTGTGGATTATTGAATCGAGTCTGGAAAGAAATAGGTTTATGATTATCATATATTTTATTTTCAAATGATCTAGGAAACAGTTGCATGCTGGTACAATTGGATTTGAGGTTCTGGTTGTAATATATAGTTAATAGGCAATTGTCAACCTCAGTTCTGTGAAACTTGGTCAGTGTATTTGGCTATTGAAATTTTTCGTCTTTTTCCATTATTAAAAGTTTCAAAAGCTTTTACCTAGTCCCTGATTGCTTAGCGTGTGTTGGACTGTTGGTTGCATTATTCTTTTGGAGCTTTTCTTGTCATGTCGCTTACACTGAATTGTACTTTAGGGCATAGGGGAATAAACACCATCTCATCTTAATTTGTCTCGCTTTGGGTTGTTATTGTAGTGGTGGCAGCATGCTGAGTTCAGCAGACAATTGGTTAACATGATAAAATTTTGGTTCATTAGGGCTGTTATAATGTATTCATCTTGCAGTAATTTGTATGCTGAGTTGAGCCGACAATTGGTTAATATGATAAACTTTTGGTTCCTTAGGGCTGTTATAGTGTATTCATCTTGCAGTAATTTGTAAACTCTCGGTGTGCTGTGTTACTAAACTGAGTGCTAGGGCCTAGGTGGTATGCGGGTGCTTCAAGGATGTATTGTGATGGTATCAGAAAATAAACTCTATTAAAACGAGGCAAATTGAGACCAGCTCCTTACAACAACTCAGACTCAATTACAACAAAATAGATGAAGTTACTACTACAACGATACTACCAGATAATGCAAACTTGGATAAATTGCCTCACATCATTCCTCATTCCCTTGCCAAAAAAAAATAAAAATCATTCTGCCACTTCCTTGTAAGTACGGATTTCCCTTAATGTCCCTCACATGGTGAAGAACGGAACTCATGACAAGGAGGGAGTTATCCACCCTTTCTAAGCATCCGTCGAAGCCTTTTGAACGTTGTTCAATTTCACCAAGCCTCTATTCCATCTCTTCTACCTTTGTCTTCTTCATTCATGAGCAAACCATTCGGGGCTCCTAAAGGTCAGAATCTCTTATACCAAATTGATGGGATTGGAAAATAAACTCTATTAAGACGAGACAAATTGGAGACTAGCTCCTTACAATATCTTGGACTCAATTGCAGCAAAATAGGCGAAGTTCCTGCTACAACGATACTACCATATAATGCAGACAAAATTCTGCAGAAAAATTAGAACGAGGTTTCCCAAGTTACCATAAGTGCATTCCCAATTTTACTTAATTCATGCGTATGCCATCTGTCCTCACGCATAGCAAACTCCCTTTTTCTCCTTCCCATTTTCTCTCTTCTCACTGTTGACATTTGACAGCCGTTGCCTCTGCATTATTCTGACGGACTTGGACCTTTTTCTTGGGCTTCTTAGGTTGATACACAAACCGTAAAGGCCCATTATATTGCTTGTATGTTTAGAAAACTTGAAACCATACAAAAGCTTGTCATTTTTGGGTCCTGTCAGTGGTAAATGTTTGGGCCATAGTTTGGCTACAAAAGTCAGGCAATCAAACTTCGTCTCTCTAACTCTCTTATTGTACACGGCTAACACTTGAAGTTTTTGCTCTGGAAATTTTCAGTTTCTAATTTGCATACATTTTGGTACCAATTTGCGTTGAAAGCAAGGTTATTTATATTTAGTCAATAACTTGAACTATACTAATTCAATTCAAAATCATGAACTGTTTTTTTCGTAGGAAAGTTGACACACGAGCTCTAATCAGTAAATTATCATATTTTAATTCTTAGCCAGCAAAATAACAGTTGTCATTCAATATCGGATCTGGTTTTGCATATTGCTTCTGGGTAACAGCTTGTGAGTCAATTATGATGTTTGACTCGACTTGGGTTTCGCATGTTGAAATAATTGTCTTTTTTAAAAGTTAATAAAGTGTTGATCTTTCACTTATAATTAGGAAAATGTTATTTTGTTTCTTGTTTTCAAGATTTTATAATGGATTGCTTCCTAGGATATCTGACGTTGCAAAATTTCACAGAAATGTTGATAAACCTTAAATTCATGATGTTTTTAATGTAAAATGGAACCTTAAAACTCTTAAGATTACGGACAAAAACATGGATTTAATGACTTAAATTATTAATATTTAAGTCATGAGATGAATTGTCAATAACTTATATCTTTATATCTTCAAGTAAGCTAATTTGAATAATTTTTAGTGTTTCAGATAATTGAAAAAAGATGGAGCTATAAACTTCAAGAGCGCTCACAAGCCAGCTCCTGAGAGCTTGAATGCAAAAAATAGAATTGCTTTCGAATTGGTTGGTGCGTAGGCTCCCACAACACAGCACTTAGGTGCCCAAAACAGGATTACATTCGGGAAACCTAGCGCCTAGGTGCCCAAAAAATGCCCAATGTTGCAATCCTAGTTACAAGTGTCTGGGTGGCGGGTGCTCAGCAACAAGTGTCTCGATGCTCACGTTTTTATAAATATAACTTTTATGACTTTTTACGAATCTTTTCACTAAGGAAGCCATAAGCCCATAACTGTCACACGGGTCCATGAAGGTCATGGCGGGAGACCATATTACCAATGGATTAAGATAATACTTTCATATCAAGCTACATCTTAATTCAAAATCTTAAGGCTTCACTTAGTTCATTATCAATCAATATGTGACTCATCACACTTGAATATCTCAATAACAGCTAGAGTTCTTGGAAAGAGTATAACTCATCTATACATTAAATAGGTTAAGGGCTCGTTTGGTGGACAAGATAGGATAAATGTAGGATATGATATGGGGCTGATAAGCTTATATTATGTCCTGTGTTTGATGAGCATATGATTAGCAATCTGATAAGATTATGTAGAAGGAGAAAGGAGAAACAAAAAACAAAATATAATGCAATAAATACAAATATATTAGGTAGCGTGATGATATATTGATATCCTATCCTGTTGAATCCTAACCCAGCTCCCCCATAGGATAAGAAATAATGTATTGGATGGAATAAAATGAGGCAATAAAATAAGTTAATCATATCCTATTGACCTACCAAACAAGAGATAAAAGTAGGATATGATAAATTATCATATCCTATCTTATTTATCAGGTGCTCCAAACATGTCCTAAAGTGCAAGCAACGTGTGAAAATATTGATATCAATCTTCTCCCTCAACAATTCTAATGGAGTTTTTCTTTAATTTTCCACTTCTCTTTTTTCTTTTACAACTTTCTAATTTTCTTGTATTAGGATTTGATGGACCTCAGTTGAATCTTGATGTAATTATATTTATCTTTTGAATACAATATTTCTTTTCAAGATTGAGTTAGTTGTTCTATGCGTAATACTTCCATGAGTTTTATAAGAACTAGATTAATATTTATGTATGACAATGAGAACTAGATTCGATAAACTCACCATTTTTTCTATGATTATAGGAATAGACATATGAAAATATGTAATTTTAATAAATTTTGTTTGTAATGCTTAAAACATTTTAAGAGATGCCAAGACGTTAGATTTCTTGAAAGGAATAAAGGGTTATGATACCAAGAAATTTGGTTTGAATTAATTTTGTTTAACTATTGATGATATTTAAAGGGGAATTGATTGAATTTAAAATAGGTTATATAAGTAAAAAATGGGGGACATCAAAACCGTAAGCATTCATTCTTGATAATTTTTTGTTTAGTTTTTGCATTTTTATTTATATTTTTGATTTCGTCCTTGTTATAAATTAATCTATTCTTTTTTTTAATCATTATTTTCATATCCAATATTATTATTTAGATTCAATCAATTTAAGCGAATTAGTGACTGAAATACTAATTCTCGTGAAAATAATATTCTTCATCATCATTTTATTACTTGCACTGTCAATACACTTATCGAATCTACAATAAATATATATGTTTACGAGTCTAAATAAATATATATGTAGTCTTCGAGAAGGAGGGAAGGGAAAAAAAAAATAGGGAAGGAGGAAGTCTATTACAAACCTTTTGAAAAGTTTAATTGATATTCTCCATGCGATCCTAACATACGCTAGAGTATATGAATTTTTTCTGCAACAGAGAGAGCAGCCTCTACGGGAGAAGTTTATGTTTAGTAATCAAGTTGTTAAAATCTTGAGGCTATCTTATGAATCATGCTAGAACAAATCAGTCCTTCAAATAATGTAGATTTTCTAAGAGCATCTTGGACACCTCTTTCTTTTCAAGTTAAAAAGTTAAAAAAAATTAAATTAAAAATAAAGATAAAAGTTGTTTGGTGTTTATATAAGTTTGTTATAATAGTTTTGAAGAAGGGATGATAAAATTTAAGGTAAATGATAAAATTTATGAATACAAATTTAGAATAAGGATAAACCTGTAAAATAAATGAGGAGTCAAAAAAACTGATATATTTTTTTTTTTTAAAAATTCCTCTCGAAAATTTTTAACTTTTTTTTTCATTGTAAAAAAATTCTTTTTATAATAAGAATTTTTATAAAAATATGTTTGACCTAATTTGTGTTTATAAGAAAAAGAGAAGCTAAAAAAAAACCTTATAAACAGGCACTAAGTAGAAGACAAATAATGCGGATTTCGAATTTAAAAGAATAAAAAAATTTAACAATAGAAATTGGATATATCTTTAAATTTTTTCTTTCGCTAATCGTATCACCCGCTTTTGGGTGCAATAGCAAATTAACAATACACCATACCACTACCTAGAACCATCTCATTATTATCATATTATGTAAAAGTTTTAAAACCACACATGCAATATTTTATATTTAATCATGCATTTACTTCCTGCAGAACTGGATAGTGATCGAATTGCGCGGAACAGCCTTGCCGAAGAAGGGAAGAACAAGGTTATTTATATATGTCGAGGGTAACAATAACATATAATTTATAATATAGCTTTTAGCTACGGTATATAATTAACTAAATTTGACTATAGTTTAACTGTTTAATCTATGCAGATTATTAATACCGATAAAAATAGTTAGCTCAACTAAAAAATGATTAATCTTAATTATAAAATTAATTTCTAACCACATTAATTAATTTAATTTTTATTAGCATATTAAACTTGTAAAAAACCAATTCAACCCAAAAAATTAAGTTGTTGGGTGAGGCTATATTAATAGTTTTATATATCTCAACACGCCCCCTCATATATATGAAAGCCCACTGGACTTGAAGGATGGACAATGCACAGGCCCACCTACCTGTGCAAAGAAAGAAATTCCACTTGAAAGAAAGTGGGGAGCGGTGAGGATCGAACCTGGGACACGAGGCTCTGATACCATGTAAAGAACCACTTCAACCCAAAACCTTAACAAAACTAATATTCTATAAATATAGTTAAAATTATAAGTGATATTGATATGCTGCACCCTAATTTGTCAATTAGAATAGATGCAACTAGCGGAGTAATAATTTAATGGTATATTTTCTGTTTTTATTTTTACTAATAATTATCAAAATACTACCTTGTTTTACTTTAAAAATAAAAAATGAAATAAATATATGATATCATTTTTGTAATTATTAACTAAAACAAAAAACATTTGCTTAAACCAGGTCTTGAGTGATTCTCTTTTCATTTCAAATTAATGTCTTATTGTATAATTCATATAATTCATATTGTATTTGCTTAATGTCCTATTGTATAATTCATATTCTCTTTTCATTTCAAATTAATGTCCTATTGTATGATGCTGGTAGTGAGCTAGAGGAAGAGCATGCAACAATAATAATTCACAAAGCTTGACTAATAAATCTGTACAAATACATTTAAATGTCCTGTACTCCCAAAACTCCACTTAACCCATATCAATCACCTATATCATCAACTCAATAATTAAAAAAAAAATGAAAAATGAAAAAGAAGCTTGACATTAAAAAAAGAAGAAGCAAAAGATCCAATGATCTATTTGACCTTGTAACTGAGAGAAGCTGTTGGTACCCAGATTGAAGCAGCAGTCAAAGGCCTTGACTTCCAACACAAAGCCAATCTACACTTGTCAAATTGCACCCAATACCCTCCACCAAACAGGCTCACCAAGTACTTGGCTTGTGAAATATTATATGTACTCATAGGAACACGTTTAAACCCCTTCAAGGAATAGAATCCTTCTTCCCACAACATTCTCTCCTCTCTTTCACAAGGAAACTGCCTTACACTGTCTATAATCCTGAGCCCCAGAATCTCTTTTTCTATCAGGGTTAACTCCATCTTGTGACTACCCCACAAACTACTGGCAATTGAATCAGAAAGTGCAGTGTAGTGATACAAAGCCTCACAGAAGAAATCCACGAAGGACATGGATTTGAGTTTAGAAAAGTTAAAAAGTTCTTCTTCCACTAAAACAACAAGCCTAGGTGATAATTTGCTTGCACCATCAAGAAAAGTTTTTACCAATGAGAAACTCCTGTTTGGCATCCACTGGTGTATCATACAGTTGATTATAAGTGCATGATGACCAAGTTCAATTCTTTGAAAATCTTCTTCCCCCACCATCATTATCTGATCGAATATGAATGGAAAATTGATAGAATCCGCGAACTCTTTAAGCCTTCTTCCTGTTTGTTGAACAGAAGCTGCACTTTGTTGGTTCACTGTGATGGCTGTTACTCTAAGGGAAGTACCCTTTCTCATTGCAAGGTCAACCATCAACGGTGGCCATTGAATCCCCTCCATGATGTCAAAATCAATGACATGAACATCCTCAGCACCTTCTGTGGCTTCAAAGATTGCTTGGTTGGCTGTGAAATGAGCAAATTTTACATAGGGAGAGAGTTCTTGTAGTATCTGAAACACACAGAAAGTGTTTGTCTGTGTAGAAACAGGATCAAGCTGCAACTCAGGAGCATTTATAGTTTTATAATACAAACCCTGAGTAAAGAAAAGAGCCAACCTGTTTAATAAACTATCCCCATTTTCTAAAGATAAGGAATTGTTAAGTTTCTCAATTATGTCAGAAGCAAGATCCCAGTTCTGTGCTTCAACAGCTTCAGCTCCTGTCAGCAACAGATCATCTAAACTTGTCTCTTCCATTAGCTCTGCTTGAATTCCCTTCAAATATGAATCGCCTTCCATTGAAACATGCACGCTTTCATGTGCTTTCGGGGTCACTCCATGACATAATTCAGAGCCTAGACCCATTGTCTCATCATGATTAATCATGAAATCAATGTCCTGGTTCTCTGTATGTTGCTGCAGCAATTCTTCAACTGACTCTTGATCAAAAATTTCATCCATGATGGTATTTGGAGATAAGAGATCTTCTTCCTGGAATGGAAATTCATTTTCTAAGTTACACTCATGGACTTCATTCACGTAGGGAGGGCTAAATGTGTTGTTAAATTGCTCATAATCATCCATCACAGTACTACTCATGGCAGATAATGAAATAAATTAAGGTTCACACAGGTACTCTTGGCTAGACACTCAATTCGAGTACTCTTATATATAGAGAACCTAATCTTGGTCCTTGGATATAAAAAATAATTAAAACTAGATAGCTCTAAGTTTTAATAATTAAGGAGGCAACCATATACTGAAATTATATATCTGTATAAGAGGTTGACAAAACTGTCTTATAGATCGATGAAGCTTAAATGATAAGAATGGATAAGATATATTAATTAGTACTACTGGCCTACTAGGAAAGAGATCTTAATGTTGTAACATTTCTTATAAATAAAGAAAATAATTATGCTCAAATACTGCCTTTGAAAAAGTTGAAAGAACTTACGTAATTTATAATTTCTTTTTGTTGCCTTCGAAATGAAACCAGCTTTTCAAAAATATTAAGACATCGAGTTAATTATATTTAAAAGAAGAGTAAATCATCCGTTGGATTCCTAACAAAAAAATCACGGTTCTCACTTTCCTCTTACAAAAACAAAGTCAATTTTTAATCCATGTACAATTCTAATTCTTAGAAAATGTAGTTTTTCGGAAATTCAACGAAGACTCAATTTAATATGGGTATTTTTTTTTAATGGGATGAAAATGGGAACTGTGTTTTTTTGTTAGATACCCACAAATAGAGATGAAACTGGACCGGGCCGGCCTACAGGGGCCTACGGCTCGGCCTACGTCAGACCAGACTTAACATAGTATATTTCGTAAAATAGGCCGGACTTGAGCCTTGAGAAAGCTTGTTTAATAAATAGGCCGTAGGACCACTTTAACAAGGTCTGGCCTATAAGCCTACATGTCGGCCTATATTGTACTTTTTTATTTTAAATAAAATAAAATAGAATAAGTATGCTTTGAAGAAAAATAAAATATATAAATTTAATCAATTGCAATTGTTTATAACTTAATTATATTTGATTATATTTTAATAGAAATATGACTTTAATTTTTATGTAGGAGGAACCAACATCTCTACATGTTAAATTGTGTATATGAATATATTAAAAAGTTTTTGGGAGAGGTTATACTTACTACAAGCATCATGATGTGTTTGTTGGATTCATGTAGTTATTTTAATTTACATAGTATGAATTTGTTTGTTGGATCTGATAAAATATATGTTATTTAATTTGAGCATTTTGCTTTTGAAAGTGACTTTAATGCATATTGTGATGATTTTTGTTGTGATTCATGATTCTGTTTGGACATTAAAATTATGATTTTTGGTTTAGCAACACAATTTGAATATTTTGTGAAGTTGATTCATGGTTCTGCTTAGAAGTTAAAAATTAACAGGCTAACGGGCTAGGCCAAACCATTTGTTTGTTTATAAACGGGCCAAGTCAGGCTAACAGTTAAACTCTTACTAGGCTTGGGCCAAGCCAAGTTAAATCTTTTTAGCATAGACTTGGATTTTTCGGAGCAAAGCTTGATCCAGCCCAACCCACTTTCACCCCTACCCACAAATGACTTTACTCTTAAAAGAATGTTTGGTTAACCTTATTTATTTAATCAAAAAATTTAATTATTTTTTAAAAGACATATTAACACTTACGTTAGTGTGTCTGAAACAACGAGCAGGTTTTATGAATAACCGAATTGATGAAATAGGTCTTCATTTTATTTTTTTAATGTACATTCACGAAAATACATTTTTTTATATATATAAAATTTGTACATGACAATGTTACCGAAAAAAATAAATAGGTACACACATTTAAATGGGTAGGCCTTATTAAAATTTATAAGACATTATTTATAATTCGCGTCTATTTTTCTCACCACCTTGTCGTATAAAAATATCACCAAAATATCTACCCCTCGTTAGCAAACATGCCTAGCTAGAGTCAGTAAGAACAATGTAATCAATAATCAAATAAAAACAAAAACTGTTCAGATACGCCGTTCATTGGTGGACACAAAGAATATAAGGTGTATATATATATATATTATATAAAAAGAGAATATATCATGAGTAGAGGACACATGGCTGAGGAGCTTTTGGTCAGAGTGTGTCCAATCAAAACTACGCAAAACACACAATAGTTTAAGCTGTGTTCAAAAGGCAACAAAAGATGATGAATTTATCAATAGGGTTTCGAAGCATTTAACAACTCAAATGTTTTGGAATTTTTGAGTAGAAAGTTGCAAAAAATTAAGTGAAGATTTTCAGTATATTCTTTGGTCCCTTGTACTTAACGAATAGTTTATTGTTGTAAAGTTGTCTCTTTCTATTCGTTTGCTGACTCGAAAACGACATACTTAGCCAAAAAAGTGGTTACAAATCCATGATTAACTTGGAGAGGAGAGAAATTGTACTGCACCCGGTGCACAAGAAATTTGGTGAGCCAAACCAATTAAAAGCCAGCATCTTCTATGCCAAACTGTATAGAAAAAAGAAAATTTTATTTTTTAATACAGATGTCATGCTTTTGATTGAAGGCCCATCGTACTCCCTGTTCACATTAAATTTTTCCCTTGGAGAGATACAAAAGTTTCAGTTCACACTGTTAAATCGGGGGATTCTATTAAATGCAATTAATTTGTTAAGTGGTGCGAGAGAAAAAAAAAATCTTTTATAAGAAATACTCTTATATATAGGAGTGAATCTTCTCATGTTAAAAAAGATATAATATGATTATACGGGTAATCATAATCATACAAAATGGATTAATGGTAATAAAAGAGGAGAGCGAGAAAATATTAAAATAGATAGTTATTAAATTATAACTGTTGATTTAACTTTGTATGGTCATGATTGTTCCACGTGATCACATTTTTTTTTAAAACACGAGAAGGTCCATTTTCCTTCCATATATGAGCTTTTTGACAACCATCCATTTTTTCACTTATTTTTAATTTATTTCTAATTAATATGAAACTTCTCATTCATACTTGAATATTATTAATTTGCAGAATACTTATGCAAATTCAAATTCGGTGAGCAAAGTGTACGTGTAGGTAATGTCCCTTTATTTAGTTTTCGGTGGCAAGCTAGCAATGACACAATCATGTTAATGAAGATAAATAGATATATATAAAAACCATAAATTCACCCAACAACTTAAATTTCTGGGTTGAATTGGTTCTTTACATGGTATCAGAGCCTAACAGAGAAATCCTAATCCGCCTTTCCTTATTTCTTTTTCCATAATTTTAATATGGTAACAGAGAGATTTGTGACTAATCCGTGTATCTAAACTACACCACAAATATTCTATTATATAACTGAAAGGAAAGAAAATACAATGAGAAATACATGATGTGGAACTTCTAAACCATTATTCTTAACACTCTCCCTCAAGCTCGAGCATATAAATCGTATGCAACAAGCTTGAACAAGAAAGACTAAGAAACATAACATCAAAATAGATCTCCTCATCAACAGAGTGCTAAAATGGCGTCGGGATGAACATTGACGAATGAAAGGGTGTCAGGATGGACATCGGCTAAGACATCTGTGTTGGAATGAATATCAGCAACATGGACGGTGCTAGAATGAACATCAACAAAGACAACTGAGCTGGAATGACTATCAGCATCATGAATGGTGTTAGGATGAACATCGGCAAAAACAACAGAGCTGTTGGAATGAACATCAACAACATGAATGGGGCTCCCCCTAAATGGGGAACTTCTTAACGCTCCCCCTCAATATGAAGGGTGAATAGCAAGAAAACTCCATCTTGGGAAGAAAGAAGATTAAAAATGAAGCTTCATGGAACATAAGCCGGAGAAATTAGCAGCATAACAAATCAACTAGAATAACCAACATTCTGAAGAGCTAATAAAGAGACAATGTTGCAACTGAGATAAAAGCTGACGGAACACTGTAACTAGAATAATCCATGGACCAGGCAACAATTGAGGTAAATGCTCTCCATGAATGGGAGGCCAAAAATAAAGCCAAACAATGAAAAAACCAAATACAAGCCAAATCAGACTTGAATAACACCACAAACATATGTGGGAATAAAATCAAATTGGTCAAATACAAGCCTAATCATAACAATATGCCAAACAATGACAAAGTGGAAAATAGAGATCAAATCAAGCCATGTCAGACTTGAATAAAATCTATATGACTACCAAACAATATGCTAAAAAAGGAAAACAAAAATCAAAAGCAAAGAAACATATCATTGGAAAACACCATTAATCTGTGAGTTTATAGCGGGAGAGACACAAGAAAACATATAAAAAAAATTAATAAAGAAAAAAATGGAGATAAGAATAAATAAAAATAAAATGATGGATCTGGAAGAGAAGGAACCCAGAAATAACCAAGAACACTACCCACATCGAGACGCCCAAAAGAAAGAAGGAAGAGATTGATAAGAGATAACACCAATGTGTACCCCCAAACAGCGACAGGACAACCAACGGGCAAGAGACAGCAGCACAAAGAGCTAGGTCAAGCTTGTTGTGTCTAATTTATATGCTCGAGCTTGAGGGAGAGTGTTAAGAATAGTGGTTTAGAAGTCCCACATCATGTATTTCTCATTGTATTTCCTTTTCTTTCAATTATATAATAGAATCTCCGTTGTGTAGTTTAGACACACGGATTAGTCATAAATCTCTCGGATCTTAATATTCCACATGGTATCAAAGCCTCGATTTCTTAGGTTCGATCCTCGCCGCCTTTTTTTTTAAAGAACCAATTCAACCCAAAAGCTTAAGCTATTAGGTGAGGCTACATTAATGGTTTTATATATCTCAACATGCCCCCTCACACGAGAGCCCACTGGACTTGAAGGGTGGACGATGCACAGGTCCACCTACCTGTGCGAAGAAAGAAATCCCACTAGAAAGAAAGTGGGGGCGATGAGGATCGAACCCGATACACCGAGTCTCTGATACCATGTAAAGAACCAATTCAACTCAAAAGCTTAAGCTATTGGGTGAGACTACATTAATGGTTTTATATATCTCAACATGTCTTGGGTTTGATCCTCGCCGCCCCTTTTTTTTGT